GCTCTGCAGGAGCTGCTCCTTCAGCCCCCACTGCCCCTGGATTTTACCAAAGCCTGTTTGGTTTGGTGATGGAGGAGAAGAGCCCAGCTGAGATGGGAGCACTGGAATGCAAAGGGAAAATGAACCCAAACCAATTAGTGATAGTGAAGAGTCACTAAAGCAGCAGCCACAGAATGGCTGGAAGAGTGAGCTGAGAAAAAAACTGAGAATGATTGAAACAGAGAATTGTGCTGCCTGTTATTTTTACTATTTTACAAATTAATCCAAATCCTACATAGTTCACTTGGACTTTTCCGACAGTTTCTCTGTCTCTGGTGCAGGCAAATTTTATTATACTGATTTAGTCCCTCGATTACCACATTGTTTTTCTGTTGGGGCTTTTTTTTGGCCTTAAAATGAGGAGAAAATAAGATATAACATTTCTTCTTTGCTACTCATCAGATTTTTGTATGCCATCAACTGAAACCACAACTATTATAAATGCACAATATCCATCATTTAAATTAGGTCAAAGTTTTTTAAATGCTCTGTAAGATTTTTCCATGTCAGAATAATTCAATCACTATCATGTTTCCTTGACGCAACTATTTTGGGATTTAGCTTGTTCCTTGATAGGGATTTAATTAAGTCATTTACATGTAATTTCCAAATAAGTAGCTGTTGCAAAAGGCAGCAAAGAAATGAAAAGGCAAAAGGGAGCCTGAAGGCAGGAGATCTTTAACAAAAATATTTCTGATATAGAAATGAATCTGAGGAATACATATTCAGTGATAAGTATTCCAGTCCATGTCTGGTAAACTCTCAGATAATGGCAGCATGGTGGGGTCACTGGGGTTCTATTAGCTCAATTAATGAGGAGTAAGATAAGGCTAACACCCAGCTCTTCAAACGGCTCAAAAATAGAGCTGATAGTAATGGAGTTATTAACCTTCGCCAGCCATTGAATTTTACTGCTGATTCCAACTCCATTTCCTAGTTCAGGCCTCCATTAATAGGCTGTTTATTATCCCTAATCCACATTGGGATCAGCTGCAGAAATATGAAAGCCCCATGTAAAGACTAAATAGTTCACAAAAATCTCTTTTTTCCCCCCACCCTGATTTCTTCCTTTTCAACACTTTCACAGATTCTTCCTTAGAAATTAAGGACTTCATTATCCTAAACTGTTTGAATACATGCTCTCAGCAGCGTGGTGAAAAAGAAGCTTTAAGTATATTATGTAAAAAGATGACATAATTGGGAACACAGCCACATCGTTTTGAAGACCAAATAAAACCCTGCTGGAAAGCTTGCACTGGAGAAGCTGTTGCTGTTTATTTTCTCTATAGGGAAAGAAACAAGCTCAGTTTTGGAAAAATGTGTATTAGAAATATATTATGGATGTATTGTTGGGCCAATCCTTTGGCTCAGCCCTCCCCTGCCCAGCTTTGTCTGTTCACTTGTATCATTTGTAATGCAATTAATCAACACTGAAAAGCAAAATAACTGACTCTGGATTCAGATCAGAAGGACAAAAGCAAGGAAATAATGGAGGGGGAAGTGGCAATCCCAGGAGAGGCAGCAGCAGAGCCTTTGGCACTGATGGGAGGGCTTGAGGAGAGCTCAACACAAACCTGCTCCAACTTTAACACAGAAATCTCGAGTTAAAGGCTCTCTTTAGAGCTCTCTGAGTTTGAACTCACCCAACTGAGATTTTTGACACTTTGTAAATTTTTTTGTGTATTTTCAGTGAAAGACACAATGTTTAGTTACCACAGCTTACACACAGAAGGTGTTCTTCCAAAATCTGTCCCAGTAACATCTGACAGAGCATCAGCAATTATGAGTGATGGAGTTAAGATCAAAATAAAAATGTTTATTATATCCACCTCCAGTACACAGTGCTGCCCTCAAATGCAGTTCTGGGTGTTCCACCTCAGCAAACAAAAAAAAAGCTGGAATGCCCAGTGAGGGGAGAGAACAGGATGATCAAAAGAGTGAAATGATTTCTAGGAAAAAAAAGGATAAACAGATCAAGGTTCTTTGTCTGGGAAAAAGGTGACTGAAGGGCAAATACAAGAGGCTTAGAAAATCAGGAGTGTTGGGAGGCATGACCAGGGAAAGTCTGTAACTGCTTCTCAAGAGAAGAAATGCACCTTGAAAAAATTATGAAGTATTTGATATGACACCCAGTGAAATGAGAAACTCCTTTCCACGTGATTTGGTGGCCCAAAGGTCTAAAAAGAGATTATAAACTCAAGGAAAAGGGGTGATTAGAAGCTTTCCAGAGAATCCTCTGGCTCAGGGAATCCTTAAATTTCTGACTGCCTCAAGCTGGCCCAGCAGAGGAAGGATCAGGACCCAGCTGAAGGTGACAACCAGAGATTCACAACACCACCCTGCTGCTGCTGCTGGATCTTATTTTAACTCCAAGTTTGAGAGAGAGCAAAAAGGATAAAAAAATACCTTGGTGGCTATTACACTGAATTTTCAGTAGAACCACCCATGGCTATATTATACATTTATTTTTGTTGTTTAAGCACTGATTAAAACAGCTAAAACACTCATTTGGGTGAGGAACTGCATCCAGTCCTTTGTGTGCGGTGGATTCCAGCTCAGGTGGGCACTGAGCGGTTAATGGCACTCAGTGGTTAATCTCTGAGTCCCAGTTGAGAGGCCATTAACAGATCCAGCTCCTTATTTGCCCTGAAGGCTGCCCCGGTTCAATGCCAGCAGGATCCTGTCCACTTAGGCAGGAGCTGCTTCACAGGGGGAGCTCAGGGCAGCTCCCTCCTCTCCGGGCTCTTTGGGAGACAGAGTTTGCAGCTTTTGCTGTGCCAACCCTCATTCTGCTGCAAATTCTAATTTAAAGAAACCTCCTACTTCTTCAGTGCAAACTGAATTATTTTCCTTTTTGTTCCACAGCAGTTCTTTGGATGTGGTAGCTGATGCTGTATCAGGTTTTTTTTTATTATTGCATTTTAACAAACTTTATAGCCCATTTTGTTTGTTTTCAAATAACTTTATTTTCCTTCTTTTCTACCATCAATTACTAGGTTTGTTTTTCTTTCTGTAAGATGGAGGAGTCAGGAGACTGATCCTGCTCAATGCTGTATAATTTAGTATTATGTGTGGTAGCTTTATGAGGTGGGAGTCAGATAAAACATAGTATTTGAACACTAACCATTTATTAGCTCTAAGGAATAGATTTGTGACTTGACAAGCAGACAATAACTCTGGGTTCTGATCAGCCAAAGAGGTCTACTCTGAGTTCAAAAAGCAGAGTAACATTCTCTTTCACAAATAATTTTGTTTACTGATGTGACTAGATTTTAATAATAAACTTGATATATATGTAAATTTATTTTAATCTAATTTCATCAACAGAGCCCTCCTAAAAATGAGACTTTGTAGATTGTTCTATGTCTGATTTATAGATTTCTACATCCTATTCCCAGATTGATTTCAAGGCTATAATTCTATCAGGTTTTTCTCCTGATGTCAGAAACACCACCTCTGCAGATAGTGTTTTATAACTAGCATCACAACTGAAACTGAATTACTGCCCTGCTATCCTGTGCTGCAATGTGTCCTTTTGTTTATAATCACCCTCTCTCCCTCACATCCCTGCCACTTCAGCTTCATGGGAAATATCAGCTCTGAGATCAATCAGGGAGCTCGATGCCTATTTCTGTCCCTCACTTCAAGCCCTGTATAAAACAGGGACCAAATTCCAAACTCAGAAGTGAATGTGCAGAGCTCTTTAAAGTGAAGGGAGGCTGAGCAAACGGATCAGTGCTGAATTTCCAGCCATCCAATTCTATAATGAGTTGCTCTTCCTCCCTTGATGAGGTCTCAGTGCTGGAGGGAGCACATGGGGCACACTCCAGTATTCCCACTGATCTCAGGGACTCCGGGTGTTCAGGGATTCTGCACTTCCTTCTAAATGCACAAGAAGAATAATCTGTGGGAAATTATGTTTCACTGAGTCCAGCACAACTTTTGAGGTTCTTCCTCCATTTTTTTTCATGCAATGGATTCCTGTTTAAGATGCACAAAGTCTTACTTTGGATAAATAAAGTTACTGCTGTTTTCACACATTCCCTTTTCACACCCTGATGGATGCAGAGCTCCCTCCCTCTGCACTCCCCTCTGCTCTCTCTCTACTCAACCTCAACTCTTTCCATCCTTCTCCTACCCCTGTTCAGGAGGGAATCCAGGGCAATCACCCAGGAAGAGTAACTCTGCCAAAATTAAACACTGATGTGGGTCATGCACTTCTCCTATCATTACTTTTAAGATAAGAACATCTTCCTCGGAAGCAGAAAATCACAAATTTCCAAGGTTTGCCTTTGGAATGGCCACTGTGCCAGCCAGTGGGATGGACAGAGCCAGGAAGGCCTGGGAAGGGGATGGAAAAGCCTCTGAGCTTCGATGAGTGCACCAGCACTTTAAATCCTCACCACCTTTGGACCAGCTGTGACAAGTAACTCTATTTTATTTGCTTGGTGCTCGTCACAGTTCTCTTTGGATGCTGATGTCTCTCATATTACATTTCTGAACAATTCATTATAGCTCAAATAAAATGTAATTCTCGTGTTGTTTTTAATTATTTCACAAAACCCAAAAGTCTCATAATGAGCTCCTTGCAATACCAATATATTTCCATGGTGTTATGTCAATGCTGAAGAAAGAAGACGTAGATCCCCCCTCCTGCTGCAAATAAAATACATCTTCTCATATAATCCAAACTTTAATCCATTTCTTATGGTTTGGCTTTGGAGGCAACTCAAACAAATAACCAGGACAACAAACCTCTTCTCTCTCCCACAGTTTGGCCATCTGGAGCATTTGTCAGGCCAGGGCTCTATTTCCTCCTCTCCAGGAGCAGCACCCCTTCCCTCGCTAAGGAAACAAAAACTGAGATGCAGCAGCACAAACCACGTCAGTAAAGGTCTGTATCTTTCCACAAACAAACCTTTCACATCCACAACGGTGTGATGGCTGGATTTCTCCCTTACCTGTTGGGATTGATCTGTGCTTTCTGCAGCTGCTCCCCCTGCCCCACGTCCCTGGGGAAGCCAGAGAGCACCCAGCCATTGCTCAGGCAGTCGAGGGCGCTCAGGCGTTCTGTCAGCAGCTTCAGGACAAGGTTGTCTGGCACTGCAAGGGAGGAAAAAGGTGACATTTCTTCTGTCTGCTGAGTCTGCAGTGAAGGGAGAGGCTCACAAGCCCTTCTGGAACCAAACCAAACAGTTAATCCCATTTAGGGCTGACTGGCGTTGGGCATTGTTGTGTTCTGCATATTTATTGTCATGGAACCTCCAAACTCTCAAGGAAGTGTAGGAGCAAAGCAAAGGATTTGGTAAAACCTGGTGCCCACATAATTTTGTAATGTCCTTTTTCCTCTCAGCCACTCTGGACTGGTGGCACAGTGACGTGTGTGACACGATCTTATCAAAATGCAAAAACAATGACCTGAGGTGTGGAAAGCAAATCCTGAGACAGAAAAGGAATTTCTGAGCATTCTGGATTGAACTCAGCAGGTGATAATGGCTCTGCTACCAGTCTACATGTGCTACTGCTCCAATTTACCCAAAGGCTTGAAGATCTTACAACTGAAAAGAATTTTCAAACTTAATTTCAACAACCTTAACCACTGCATTGGTGAACCCTTAATTTTAGAGCTAAAAGCTCTTTTTCCTCTATTATTATTTTTCTTCAGGGCAAGAGAAAACATCAGCAAGAAACTGACTGGGATCTCAACTGCTATGGAGCTTTTAAAATTCTTTTAGTGGGATACAGTGGTAAGGAAGTATCCTGCAACATTTTCACTAGAGTCTTTATAAAGTAAAATACTTCAATTAAGATACTTAAACTTTTGGGGTTTTTTTCCTTTTTTGGGTGGAAGGGGTGTGCTCAGAATTAAATTATTAAGTTCTACAGCCAGTGGGATATATAAAAATATAAAATGTATAGAATCTATGGATTCTATAGAATCTATAATCTATAAAATCTATAGAATGACTATAGATTTTCCAATGACTGTTGTCATGTCTTGGGCTCAGTATCAAATAATCCCAAAGAAAGGACAGCAAAATCTCCTGGAGCTGCTTCCCAAGCAGCAGCCAAACCAATTCCCAAGCAGCAAGGAGAGCCCCTTCCCTTTATCTGTCTGATACACCAGTGCCTCCACTGAAAACAAGAGAGAAATTGCTACATAAATCCCCTTCATGGCAGGTTGATGTTTTGATGCTCACCCTGCCATCACATCTGCATACAAAAACACAACAACAAGTGCTTGTAGGAGAGTGTATGTGTCAGATTTCCAGCACTGCACTTCTCTTCAGGACAAGCTGACAGCAATCTGCCTGGATTTTAGCAGAGTGAATTATTAGCAGTGCACAGTTCCACCCCAGGAACAAGCAGGTTTTAAACTGCAATAATAGAATCCATTTGCTCCTGGAATTTAACATTGTGCCTCTATCATGAAATTCATGGCTTCTCCTTTAAATAATCAAATTACTGAGTTTACAGAACTGCACTCAGGATTCAATGTACCAGCAAAAAGAGAGGAAAACCGCAGGGAATTAATTAGGAAACAGATTAGTGTATTAATTGAGGATATCCACTTCACATTATAAAAGAACAAGTTAAAGAGAGTAATAATGTCTGTCTGCTGAAAGGAGAAAAAAAAGGAGTGGAATAAACCCACACATTGACAAAGAGCAAAATGACAATGCAAAAACTGGGTATTCTGTCAAAAATGGGATTCATAAAATTAACTGCAACAACAGCACAGCAGCAGGAAGGAATTTCATCAGATGGAAGCTTCTTCCCTATCCAAGACTGAGCTGCAGGCAGGCAGGGCAGGGAGAGCAGGAGAATTTCTGTGCTTTTTCCAGGGCAGTTGTCTCCCCACCCGCCAGCTTACAAACACAACACATCCTAGCAGAAATAAAGAAAAACAAACAAACCCAAAATTTCTCTTTCCCAAAAATGTATTCCATACAAAGAGCAGTGCAATTTCCCCAAAGTCCAGAATTTCTGCAGCATTTAACTTTCTTCATGTGTGTTATTTTATGACAATTCCTGCTGGAATCATTGACATGGATTTACAGAGATGCCAACTGACATGATTTTATTTTTTCATTTCAGAATGCTGAAAACAGTCTTGCAAGGAATCGGAATAAAACATATAAACTCATGAGTAGGATTCTGGCAGAGCTGACATCCCTGTCAGCTGAACAGGGATCAGGGCAGAGGCTGGAAGGAAATGGCACAGAAAGATGGATGTCCTGTGCTGCTGAGCTTCTGCAGATCCTGGGAGATTCCCCAGTTCCAGATTGCTTCCATCCTTCACATGGGAAGGAGAAACACTGCAGCACAGGAGGAAATGAAACAGCAATTGTGATGGGAACCTGGGGCATCTCCTGGGTCTGAGCACTTCCCACAGCCTTCTGTGACCCCTGAGGACCAAAATCCTCCACTGTGGTCACTATTTTGGAACAAAACTCAAGCAATCACACAAGGGGGGAAAAAAAACCTGAGATGCAGAGACAAAGAATTAATAGTTTATCTAATGACATGCCAGGTTTGGGGTGCTCTGAGGGATGCTGGGGACACCTGACACATCTCTCCCTCCAGCCAGGACTGACTGCAAGACATCAGCAGCACCATGAACACATATACATCACTGAATAATATAGATGCTTACATATTTTCTGTGCCTCCCTCTAAAGCTTGATGGTGAGAAATAAAACATAAACAAGTCAGACAGCAAGCTCTGCTCTCCTCTTGATTAGCAAACATACCTATCACTTCAACACAATGGGGGAACAGAGCTTGTTGGCTGCTTGGTGGCATTACAAAGTACATCAGTTGCCCTTGAACAGGAACAGTCACACTTAAAACAGCTGCATTAAAACTGTAAAACATCTTCCACAGACCAGAGGGAAGGAAAAAAAAAAAAGAGAGAGGGAAAAAAAAATCAGTATTATTCTTATTTTGAAGTACAGACAGAGTAGGTAATGAAGAACTCTGCAGTACAGAATTCCTTTTCACTCATGTGGAACTGTCTCTGGAATGTAAGGCAAATTAATAACCTGTAATTGGAGGGGCACACAGCCTGTCAGGAACTAGCCAGAGGTCTCCTGGTCTTAAGCACATGACCCAATGGGCATATAGCAAAGTAAAATATAGAGATTTCCTGATGAGACAGTCAATCTACATGTTTTAAGGAGATTATGAAGCACAAGAGCTTTGAATAATCAATTCCTTTTCAACATAAGCTTGTGTGAGTTTCCAACTCCGAAAGTTGGGGGAATGAGACTCAGGAGAGATTTTACTTTATCATTAGAGAAGTCCAAAGCTAAGTTTCTTGTAAAAATTACAATGTGCTGCTGCAAAGAGATATCCAGACTAGCTACGGTGGGAGCACGTCTCTATCAGGGAGAGAAATCGAGGCACAGGAGCAGAATTCAGCCCTCAGAAGTAAAGCTGCAGAGCCACCGAGCTGCAGTGACTCCTGAGAGCATCAGGCACAGCTGAGGACAAAAATCCCCACACAAACCCCACAGCAAACCCCAGGCATGGAAGAGCAGCTGGACGAGGCCACAGCCAGCTCCAGATGGAAATGCAATTTATCTGTGCCTGCACCAACCCCACACTCCGTGTCTCCTTCATCTCCCAGCCTGTTTCACCACATTAATGATCAATACTACACCCCTGAATTGGCAGCTGTGGATCTGAGAAGTGATTTAATCATTTCAGGGGTTTGATCAGGCAGGGGACAAGGCTTAAAGTGCTGCTGCTCGTGCTGGAGCTGCTGCATGGACACCCAGAGATTTTCCATCTCCAGGGCTGTAAAGCAGCACCTTCCAGCAGAGCATTTAAAAAATAAATTTACTTCTCAGAGCTTCAAAGGTTTTCGCAGGTATCAGGTGCTTCTCATGAGAAGTACGTGCTCCTGAAGCTCACAGGAGTGTGGCCTATTAGCTCTTCCCCAATCCGTGGATCTGCAGGACTAACAGAAACCAGGATCAGGCAATCAGGTACAAAATCAGGCGATCAGTTACAAAATCACACCACCTGCACCAGACAAAAGTAACAGAACATTAAAGGCACAGTCTGAAAGGGGAAAAACACCATTTGAGAGATTACAGGGCACTATTCTCCAATAACTTCAATGCTGTCAGTGCTCTGAGCTATGCAATTATCATATTTAAATTGATACCTCCTCCGTGTATTTCCCTTTAAAACAGACTTTTGAAGAGTATCAGCTCACTTCTCCAACCCTATAAAACCTCGATTCTAAGTACAGCATAAATGCATTTACAGATCCAAATTCTGTCAGCTTTGTGCTCTAAAAGGTCCTTTTGACAATCCTGTCCATCTATGTTTTATCCCACTTATTGAGGTTATTTTTTAGCAAGGTCTAAAGACTTTCACACTAATTTAGATGCCTGAGGCTTGATCCCAGTAGTTGACAGGTAACATCTTGTCCTGAGTACAAGCTACTGCCAAACACTACTTTCCTGAATTGTCCATGAAATCCCAAATTTAGCAAAGCGTGAGATTTCCTTATTTTATTGCTCTAGAAACTCCGGATGATTCACAATGAATAAATGCCCTTTTCTACGCTGTTTTTTTGCCCACGTAAAGGTGCTCAGAGATGGTATCGATTGAGATTGTATAAATTGGTTTTTAATGTGTTTGAGAATGATTTTGCAGTGATTTACCACGGCGTGGGCTGATGGATAATTTCGGATATTCCTCCGTCCAGCCGGTGGGTGAGGATGAGCAGGGCTGTGGCAATAACCCCAAAAAATAACCCCAAAAAATAAATAACCCCAAAAAATAACCCCAAACACGGGGCTGACCGCCGGCAGGAGAACAGCGGGCTTGGCCTGGCTGCAGTCGGGAGAGGGGATCGGCTCCCCCGGGCATTCTCCGGGGCAATTCTCGGGAGGCTCCGACCCCACGCACCCCGAGGGGCCTGGGGAATCCAGGGGGGCTCCGGTCTCCACAGCCCGCGGGGTCCCGGAGGCTCCCGGAGGTCTCCAACCCCGCGGTCCGGCAGGATCAAGGAATGATCCCGGGGGTCTCAGCCCAGCAGAATCCCGGGATGATCCCAGGATGAATTCGGGCGGATCCCGGGCTGG